AAAGTTTATACATTTATAAAAATAAACAAATTGTTCTTAACAATGACAACGGTCCCATCCCTGGATCTCCGCTATTTAGTTTAGTTTAATTACGTTTATGATGATGATGTTAAGGTCCATTGAACATCTACCTTGTTGGCTTCGGGTCATGTTCACTGAACCTTAACAACTATCAGTATAAATTAGGATTAGTTCTCATTTAGGTTTAGTTTACTTCAGTCCCTGAAGAAGGTAACTTTGTTACCGAAAAGTGCTTCGGACAACTACAGTGTCGTGTTTTGGCGTTGGGGTTTTGAGCTATTCTGTTTGTTCTACAACAACCGCCAAAGTTTTTCCAATCTTCATATTTTGTGTTTATTCAGATTTGACGTGATTTAGTGTTACTACTTACTATTGGCAAAACAATAAAAGGTTCATACTAAATTAGTTTGTCTAAAAAAATTACAGTTATGCATCTATGCTTTTAAGGTAGTCTTGGTTTGATTAAAGATTAGATAGAAAAAATTAGATAGAACATATTTGAAATTTAAATATTAGACCTAAAGGAAAATCATATATATTCAACAAATGCTATTTAGAAATGGTAAAATAACATATAGTAATAGACACATAGAAAGGGGGTTGAACAGCCCAGTTGCTAGAGTGGCGAGTTATGAACATTAAGGTTGTAGGATCGATTCCGGTAGCGTCTATATAAAAAAAAAGGTTCAGTTTCTCAACATCTACGTCCGATAAGCCATTATACAGATAGGTAGATAAGTGTGTAACCATCTAGAGATTAAAACTTCTAAGTTAATTAGAGATAACCAATTAACAATTAATGGATCAGCGATGATGTGTGCACTTTCGTTATACGCAGGGCAAAAAATGAAAATGAAGTTAGTTGCAGTATTTATTATAAATACAGTGTAGGAATAATGATTGCTGATAACTTGAATACATAGAACGCCAACTAGAGAAAAGCTGTTATTGTGTTAGGAAATTAGTGAAAAAGCTGAGGCTACCTCTCCTAAGAGATTTACTATCTATGAAATAAAATTTCTATAGTTGGAACGTTCAAAATTGGCATAGTCTGTAATAAAACTGTCAAATTTACTTTATTCGTTCAACTTACTAACTAGACTAGAGTGGTCGTAAACGTAGAAAAGAGATGTCAGGTAGGAATTGCAACGGACACTAATAAAGAAACAAGATTAGCATTACACCAATTAATATGTAACAGAAAGAGATTCAGACAAGCAGAATTTGAGCATGTCGCCAGCATCGGACTTTAAAGAAAGTTCAGCATTCTCAGAAAAGGCAAGGACACTTGTTTAAAGATATAATTTCAACCAGGCTGTTATAAAGCAAATCCTGACCTTTTGCACACTTAATCAATCTTTAACCGCTGCACCGGTTACTCTTATTCGGTTATCTCTTTTCACTTTGTTTGTACCACCCATGAAGCATTTCCTAACTTAACAAGGACGTGTTCAAAACGCAGCAATTGATTGACAATTCCAAGTGGAAACAAGAAAGAAGATATGCCAATTTTGATCGTCTGAACTATAGGGAAAGTTTTTAAACAGGAGAATCGCAAGTGTGACTTCAATATTATGAGGTATGTCTGTTAACGCCAATGGTATGATATTTTTTTTGTTGTTCTGATTGAAAAATGGCCACAGAGCTTAATAATATCGCATGAACGAAATGGATACCTGTTGCATTGGACTGCAAGTGTTCGATCTACTTCTAAATGAATTCTGGGGACTAAGAGCTTTTTGGTTTTTATTATTTGGCGCATCTTTTTGGGTGTCGTTTTGGATTCTAATAGGCGACTGCAGAAGAGAATCATTCCTTAAGCTAGCCTGTACAGAACAAAAAACAGTGATTAAAGATATACGTTCATATAAACAAATATATTTTCAAAAAAGCACTTTAAATTTCACCAATGGAAATTTCCATATCTGTTAAATATATTTGTGACTTTGAAAAATTATTGAAAATTGATAATTTATACACGTCGGAATTTTTCGGGATACTAGTTTTGAGTAGGTAACCAAAATGTTATTTCAATTAAGTTGGTACCTACCAGAAAAGGTTCGGTTAATGTCAAAAGCCTCCAAAAAGATTATTTGGTTATTTTATATTTATTGATTAGTACTTTTGCTTATTATATATATATAAATATAGGGTTGTTCGGAAAGTCATTTCGTTTTTTCCCGACAGAGGATTTAATTGTATTCTTTTGCACCCAACTTCACATTTAAGCCGTATAATTTTTATATGCTTTGAGAGCTCATATAGCAAGGCTTGTGTGTGAAAAATTCCAATTAATTCTACGCAGTAGTTTTTGGTTGGTGCCCTTTTAAATATGGAGAGCGATAAGCAGCATTTTCGACATATCTTACTGTTTTACTACAGAAAGGGTAAAAATGCTGTTCAAGCCAGAAAGAAATTGACTGATGTGTATGGAGAAGGTGTGTTGACAGTACGCCAGTGCCAGAACTGGTTCGCTAAATTTCGATCCGGCAATTTTGATGTCGAAGATGCACCACGTTCGGGAAGGCCGGTTGAAGCTGATAAAGACGCGATAAAGGCATTAGTTGATGTGAACCGGCGAATAACAACACGTGAGATCGGATTGAGGTTAAATTTATCAAATTCAACAGTTTATGACCACTTGAAAGGCCTGGGATTATCCTCGAAGCTCGATGTATGGGTTCCCCATGTTCTCACAGAGAGAAATCTGTGTCGCCGCATTGACGTCTGCGATTCGCTTCTCAAACGTCACGAAAATGATCCGTTTTTGAAGCGCATCATCACTGGGGACGAAAAATGGGTTGTATACAACAACGTCAAACGCAAGAGGTCATGGAGCAAAAAAGATGAACCGGCTCAAACCATTTCCAAAGCCGATATTCACCAAAAAAAGGTGATGCTGTCTGTTTGGTGGGATTTTAAAGGAATCGTTTTTTTTGAGCTTTTACCGGATAACACAACGATTAATTCGGAAGTCTACTGTCATCAGCTGGACAAACTGAATGATGCACTTCAACAGAAAAGGTCAGAACTAATCAACAGGAAAGGTGTAGTGTTTCACCAAGACAACGCGAGACCTCACACAAGTTTGGTCACTCGCCAAAAGCTTTTACAGCTTGAATGGGATACAATGCTACACCCACCATATTCTCCAGACCTGGCACCATCGGATTATTATTTGTTCCGGTCACTCCAAAATTTTTTAGACGGTAAAACCTTCACCTCAAATGAGGAGGTCAAAAACCTCCTCGATCAGTTTTTTGCCAGCAAAGACCAAAAATTTTATGAGCGTGGAATTATGCTACTACCAGAAAGATGACAAAAGGTGTTGGACCAGAACGGTCAGTATATAATTGAATAAAGTATTTGTTTATTATACGAAAACTGTCTTTCATTTCCACAAAAAAAACGAAATGACTTTCCGAACAACCCTATATAATAACTTTAACTTTCTATTGTTTATAGATTACCCGAAATTAATGAGAAAAAGTTGTTGTTGCTGTCACATCCTCGCCGGGAATAGAACCCGGGCCCTAGGTTTACGGACAAGTACAATCAATGTTGCATATTAACCACTTTTAGAATATTTTGTACATAATAATGATAATAACGTTGAGTTGGTTTCGATGACATTTGTCACATCTTAGACGTACGTTAGTCGTTTTTGATGCTTAAAACCAGAGGCACGGGTTCGATTTCCGGCGAGGGCCCGATAGCAGTAATATTTTTTTGTTATTAATTTTGGGTAATCGATAGAGAATAAAATCTGTATTGTTTAATATTGGACTTGCGGATTGATGTTTTTCGTCTTAAAATCCCACATTAGGCTCAATAATGTGTAAACCCACCTATCTCGGGAGTAAATTTTTTATCATTTATCTGCCTGGTGCTTTTTCGAATATATTTGTACAGCGACACTAATTTTCTACATTGCACTATTAACAAAGTTACAGTTGCTATACATATTCGGTATTATTTACATGAGTGAATTTTGTGAAAGCTGTTTAAAAGCTCTATATGATGGATGAGCTGGACCTACGTATGTTGATGGAGATGCGTGTAAATTTTTGTTGTAATTCCGTATAGGAAAAAACTTTATACAGCAGTAAGTAAGAAAATGTGCTAATGCAAATGAATTTGTTTGTGATCAATCGATTATGTCTTTCGATTAATCAAGTATTTAATTAACGAATTAATATTTTATGCAGTTTTTTCCAGGGTGGCGGTCAAGTAATTAAAATTCTATAACGTTTCGATTTATTCAACCATCTTCAGATTTTTGAAGTGTTACTGCTTGTACACAGATATTAACTTAATTTTAAACATTCTTTCATACTGAGTATGCAGTAGTTCAACTGTGTACAAGCAGTAACACTTTAAAAGTGTGAAGATGGTTGAATAAATCGAAACGTTACAAGAAACGTAAAGTTGTCTTAATTATTTGACCGCTACCCTAGAAAATAACTACATAATTTAAAAGTAACGGTCAGGAATCCAACATAAATTATTACTATTGAAAACTGCAAAGAATTGATTATTATTAATCGATTAATCGGATATAACGTTCCCAGTTCTAATAGGGACATAATTTTACTAACGTGTCTGGTGATGTTGCCTCCGTTACATTGTGAATGATCTCTTCCATTGTTCAGTGGCACGGCTTCCGAATCGGAACCGCTTCTGTTCTTTTTCCTTCTCAAGCTCGGTCGCGAGCGAAGCTTCCATGAATAACCGCGTTGTATCTTCGGTTTTTCCTGTGGCTGATTTTGTGAGTTTGTAGCTTTATTTGCACTCGAAACGGGAATGCTTACCTGGCGAATATAAAATTGAAAAATTGCATCGAATTGTTTAGTTTATTGTATTCCGATGTACTCCGCATTTCTGCATACTTTACTTAAATTCCAAACGAAATACTCGCTTTGCAGAAACGAAACGTTGCAAATTGGATATTTGTAAAGCGTGTGCTTTGGAAATAATATTAAATCAAACTGGTTTACGATAAACTAACGAAATGTTAAAGAAACAAGCTTTTAACACTGTATTTCAGTTGAAAGTAAAACAGAACTATTTAGTGCATTTTACAAGTACAAAATTTAAACTAAAATTGCACAAAATTAGCTCATATTTTTGCGTAAAAAATAAATTTGACAATCTTTATACTTAATAGCAATTCGAAAGTAATAAAAATGTTGGTATTCTACAATCATAAAAAAAGATTGCGGAACGATCGGTCGTACGGTTCATACTTAAATGACGCCTAAATATGCGAAAGATTCAGAAACATCGGTAACAGTTCATTGTGGAATTGTCCACATGACGAAATTGACATGGATGTTTTTTACTGATAGTTATTGAGTAATAGGGCTCAATGTAAGGCATAGGGAACCTCAAGATATATTCGTAATAAAAGAAAATAACTTACCTTTTCGGAAAATGTAGTCGTCTTTGATCCAATTCGTTCATTATGCGTAATTATTTTCGATGACACTGTCTTCGAATCGTCGGGGAGCTTTTCAAATTGTCGGAAAGTTAAGGGTGGTGGTGACAAGGCTGGGGGTTTAAGAAATGCTGGCGCGTTGTTGTTCTAAAACATGAGCAGATAATATTTATGAAACAACTTGCGGAAAAAACAAATGAAAATTACATTTGGATTAGTGGCCTTCAGGGTGAAATGTTATGAAAAATATTTTTCTTATTTGGTAGATATGTAGGGAAAATAAATATTTTTATTTTTATTATTTTTGCAATTGCTTACCGCTGATCGGTTTATATTCTCAATATTTATAATTTCATCGACGGGGCACGGCTCATTGCACATGACGTTGTATTTAAATTCCGGGTAGTCGTCTAGGGTGGTGCTGGGTGAATCCTGGGGAGTCGCGGCCGTGTGCGTAATTATTGGGGGTGAATTCTGTGTATTATAAAATAAAGTATTCCGTGTATAATACTTTTAACAATTAAATAAAATTGTAGTTGATGATATAGATAAAGTCTTAGGTCTACGATTAATTGAGTATAATAAATGTAAAAATTTTAATTAAAAATATTCTAGATCTGTTCAAAAAGTATCGCGAATTTTCGATTTTAGATTTTTTTTGTGGCATTAAGTTGGTACTCATGTCTCTCATTTATACCGACAAGTTCGGCCATGTTGAATGTTCAGTTAATTTTTGACTCGTCTTCGATTTTTGCCCACCGTATTTCCCAGATCTGGCCCCCTGTGTCTTTTTCCTTGTTCCCGAAACTAAATAGGCTCATGAAAGGACGACGCTTTGCTACAATTGAGGAGATAAAGACGGCATCGGAAAGAGTGATTTTTTGAAGTGTTTCAAGGATTGGAAAAAACGTTGGCACAAGTGTATAATATCTAATGTGGATTGCTTTGAAAGAGACAAAATAGATATTTATGAATAAATAAAGTTTTTCAAAAAAAAAAAAAACAAAATTCGCGATATTTTTGAACAAACCTCGTATAGATACTACTATTATTAGTGATAGTGGCTAAGTGTTGCGGGAAGAACACATTATTATAAAAGAATTGAAGCAAATAGTGTGCTAACAAGAAAATCCCGTAAATTTGATACTACTTTTTCAATTTCTGATTTTTTAGTCGTAGAAAGTTAGGTTGGGTTAGGCCAGTTGCGATCAAGATTACTCACTTGACGCGGCGGTTGTTTTAACATAAAAGATTCCTTTTGGATGTTACATTTTGGTTCGGTGATGGCATGCAGAACGGGTGACTTGATGTAACAGCTGTCTTTTCTTCTGTAAGCTTTTAAATCGCAGTGACTGCATCCAGTAGATAGTTCTTGCTGATCGTTGGTACTCTTCAGTTTTTGAAGGTCATCCACGGATCTCCAGGTATTTTTACATTCCTGACAAATTCAATTAATATTTTGGCCAATGATACATTAAACGTTGTGGGAAGTTGCAAAAGTTAGGCTAGGTTCTTACATGGTAAAATGTTTCGATAATAGTGCGAGGAGATAGGTTTCTAAGCAAACGGATAGCTCAGTAGGAACAGCGGGTAAAAGTAACCTATTCCGTATTTAAAAATAGTCATTGAGATAGTGCTTAAAGATTTACAGAAATATTAGACCTTAGCATACTCAATTAAATTCCTAAAGACCGGACATGAGGGTTTGAATCAAATGGAGGCGGCAGGAGGTGAAGTACTGGGTATATGAAATATTTCGATGGGTTTTCACAATTTCGGAAAAAATATGAAATGTTATTCTGAAAATTCATTTTTGAATTTTTTACCCACTATACGCTACCTCACATTAATGAGGGAAAAATTGTTGCTGTTGGCACACCCCCGCCGGGAATCGAACTCACTTCGAAAAGATGTTTAAATTTGTGTGTATGTTTAATTTGAGAAAAAGTTAAAAATAAAAGGGAACTGAATTAGTGGCCTTGCATGTGACCTTGTCCATGAATTGTGCGCATGCTTAGAACCCCCTCCCTCTGTTATCTAAACATATTACCGCAAAATTTTCCCACCTTCAGTGACGTTGGTATTTGATGCTCAGCTCCCACCTATAATGCTTACATTTACAATACTGTCGCTAGATGTCGACGTAGATCGGTTTTTGTCTTCGTAACTAGCCCGCCTTACAGCTTCCAACATACACGACATTTTCCTAGCCAATTCCCTTTGTTCCCTTTCCCTTCTTTCGTTCCTTTCTGCACTGAAACCTTCGACCAGGATGGCTACCAGTAGGTTGAAAAGGACGTAGTTGCCAAAGGTCATGAGAGCCACAAAATAAAGGGCTGCCCAATGGGACGTTTTAGACATACCGTTGGCAAGGACGATATTCCAGTCTTCTTGAGTTAAAATCTAGTAGTAAAAAATGAAAAAGAAGAAAGAATACAGACGTGTTTTATGTAAGATAGTGAGAATGAGAAGTTTACCCCAAAGGAAAGATATTGTGTTAATAATAATAGTTAAAATTACCTAATGAATCAGAAAAAGGGTTGAAGTAGGGAATGTAGGCAATAAAAACTACTCCGTTGGGGTTTTGAGCTATTCTGTTTGTTCTACAACAACCGCCAAAGTTTTTCCAATCTTCATATTTTGTGTTTATTCAGATTTGACGTGATTTAGTGTTACTACTTACTATTGGCAAAACAATAAAAGGTTCATACTAAATTAGTTTGTCTAAAAAAATTACAGTTATGCATCTATGCTTTTAAGGTAGTCTTGGTTTGATTANCTCATACAAACGACTGCAATCATAGCGGCGTTGTTTAACTCTGTATTTTTATCGTACAATCTCGTTATAGTAAAACGTCTTTACAAATCGGTTCATTTGAAGTAGGCGAAATTGGTAATAAAAAAAAAAGAGCTAAGTAAGCACCTAAAAAATAACCCCAAATCCATTATTTGTATTATATTGATAGTCCTTTAAGTCTAGGATAACAAAAATTATGATTGGCTTTGTGGACGGCTGGCTCCGTATTATTTATTTTTTATATATTAATGTGAAAATTAATTTTCATTCTTTTACCTACTATAAACTACCTCAGGTTAATGAGAAAAAAATTGCTGCTGTTGTCACACCCTCGCCGGGAATCGAACCCGGGAGCTTTGGCATTACGCACCAATGCATGCATGCAACAGCAACAAATTTTCCCTCATTAACCTAAGGTAGTTTATAGTGGGTAAAAACATGAATATTAATTTTCGCATTAATATTTGATATTAACCACTATTAAATGTCAAAGCGTTTCATAATATATAGTATTTATCTTTTATCTTTTAATCCAAACGCTTTTACGGCGTTTTGAAAGAGATTGTTAATTTATATTTATTATTTTTCTAATTCCTTTGCTTAGAAACTTTGTCAAAATTTAATGTTCGATTAAAAGTCTAGGATCTTAATTAGGTCTGTCAGTTAAAGCTTCTTTACTTTTCCATCATTTCAATAACTTTTGCTGTCTTTCAATCATAAACGCTTAGATCAGTATTTCATCTTCGCAAAATTGGATCTTGTGTTAACGAAATTTACCGAATTCTAATCAAGTTCAGAGGCAATTTTATGTTCATTCTGCGGATATACTAAACGAATTAATGAAAATTTCTTCACCCTCGAAGCCATTGTCATAACTGAATTGCGTTTCAGAGACACGATGATGGCTTCGGTTAGATGATCACAAACGTAAATCGAGATATCGTGTTTATTGGTGTATTACAACAAGACGTGCTCTGATAAGTTGATAGCTGCCAACTGATTGTGAGATGGCATTGACAATGTATGTGGCAGTAATGGCCTTTACGATGATCGCCTGATGAGAATTAAAAAAAGACAAAGAATCACCGGTGATTTGTGTAACTTAAATTGTAATTTATTTGTTGCTATGTATTAATAACAACCCTTTTTAATTGAAAACCTCAGCAACGAAATATTGAACATTAAACTGTGGAACATTATGTAAGAATGGCAGTTATAGATAACTGAGGAATGTTATGGAATTTGTTGTTATTTAATAGTAGCGGTCACATCTAATGACATTTTCACTGACCGCTGTTGAGAGGATTTACTATTCACATTCCAATTTAAACTGTTAACATAATATATAAGTGGTAATTATAGATAGCTGAGGTGTGTTAATGAGTTGTCTTTCAATAGTCACGGTCTGATTTTAATGACATATTCACTGACCGTAATTGGGAGGGGAGGATTTACCTGACATTGAAATTTAAACTGCGCAGGGTAATTTATGAGTGGTAATTATAGATAGCGGAGGAGTGTTATTGAGTTGTCTTTCAATAGTCACGGTCTGATTTTAATGACATATTCACTGACCGTAATTGGGAGGGGAAGATTTACCTGACATTGAAATTTAAATTGCGGAGAGTCATTTAAGAGTGGTAGTTATAGATAACAGAGGTGTGTTAAGGAGTTTGTTCTTATTCAATAGTAGCGGTCACATTTTAATGGCATTTTTACTGACCGCTGTTTGTGCAGAACCTTCACTTCCTTTTGTAGTGTGGATAATTATAAACCGCTTGGTTCATTTTACATGCAAAAGCAATATTAAGCATTCCTGAACTCAGTGGTTTCATATGTAATATTTACTGACATGCCAAATATGAAAATAAATTGAATTGAAATTATCATCAATTTATTATCAATTTGCCGCCCTCTCATTTTCCATGTCAAGGATTTTCAAAGGTAATAAATTGCTGAAGATTGCTTAACAATAAGTAGTTCTTTTAGATAAAGGAATTTTGGGTATTTTAGAAAAGAATTGAGAAAATTTTAAACTATATATCTTACAGAACTAAAACAATGTAGGTAATTGCCCAATCGGGGAAAACGTATACGATATAAAAAATATATCAGAAAAACATTAGTGCATCGCCCGTATATAGAACCCGGGCTGTCGTATCGTAACCCGCATATGGAGCGAGCATTACTTCACTGAACCATTCACAGCTTTGCTAAACGCAGCTACGTTTCAGAATTTGCAACTATAAAGTGTACTCCGTAATATGTTTTCCCCGGTTGTTTATAGTCAGTCGTATACGAAAAACGAAAACAAAAACTAATCAGCAGCACAGAATAATTTTAACACAATATCTTTCCTCATCAGTTGGTATATGATGATTTTTATCAATCATGGGCATTAAACATAACGATTTTATTGGATAAGTTTGCAAGGGTTAAAAAGGAAGCTTAATTTTCTTAATGTTTGTTTAACTTTTTGTTAGAAATTCATGCTGTTTTCAAAGCTGAAACATAAGACAAATTAAGCAAAGGAATTTAAAAGTAACACATAAATAGTTATAAATAATTTTCAAAACGAAAAAGGAAGAATTTTCACATTTATTATCAGAAAAATAAAGTCATATTGGTATCTAAATAATAATAAAGTTTTCAATATATTCAGCGTCTCANTAGTCTACTATACTTACTCAAATAAACATCTCACCTATTTTAAGTATTTTTAAGGCGCAATTAAAGTGTTTCCTTAAATGAGGGGTTGTTATGTTGATTTTGATTTGATTATCAATAAGTGAAAATGTCAGACTGCAGAGCTATGTGATTTAAAGATAAAAAAATAAAACTGACTGATTATAACAACGTTTTTTTTATTTTTCTCTCAAAACATGATCCTTATAAGGAAGTTTCGGTTTCGGTTTCGGTTTCGGTCGAAACTGAGACCGTTGCCGAAATTCGGTTTCGGTTTCGGTTTCGGTCGTAAAAACCAGTTTCGGTCGGACACTATCTAGCATATTGGTTGTTGAAATTTTATCAATAGTTAATTCGGACTTCATGGACATATTTATTTTATTATCAAGTCGATTTATATCATTATGCGCATTTTCGATATTGTTCTTTTTCAACTTTCGAAACAAAGTAATAACAAATTCGATGATCGATTTTTATTAATTTTCGAGTACCTAGAGATCGAAGAATGTTCAAATTGTATTAAATGATATTTTCATTTTGGAAAAATGACTTAAGGGTAATAACAATTGAAGATACATTGTAATGCAGCTCATGTTCGTTGGTAGGGGTGACATAAGACATAATTGTAACAATAATTATTTTCCTGGTCATACGCACTTAATTAATCTCCTATAGTGAATATTTGTTAACATTCACAAATTAGATGCGAATGATAAATGAAAAAAGGAAAAAAGACATTCCCAGAAAAGTACATTCGTCATGCAAAAAATGCATATACCTATTTAGGTACTAAAACTGTCAATCCATATAACTTAACTTGTACTTACCTTTCGATCAGTCGAAACGGCCACACCTTCATTGATATTTAATTGCAGAAAAGCCATCGATTTTATTTTGTTGTATCGATAAATAAAGAAACAAAGCATTTAATTTAGATTTCGTTAGTTAGTTGGTACAGCAGCCCAAAATGCAGAAAGCTAATCGTGTTAACAACAAATGCACCAATAACAATAGTATTAATAACAACATTAGAAATAACGTGTCCAGATGTTGATTTAATTATTTTTTTTTCGTTTCATGTTACGAATATTTCTAATGTTTAGCGCTAGATGGTGCTGTACCGAAGGTAATAAAGAAGTACCTGAAAAACAGTAACAGTGGCCCATAATAAGGTGTCAAAATTTTTCCTATCTTTGTCTTCTTCAGCAGTGCTGGTACATTTACCTTTTGGCGTTTTTTCTTCGCAAAACTTGCACCCGAAAAGATTCATACCAAGGATACTAGAAAATCCAAAACACTACATTAAAAAGATGCACTTTCCATTGTCGACTTTACATGTTTTTTCTTCTTTTTTATCAGCCACAGACTTTCAATTTTTTCTGATTTATTAAACATATATGCAGTTAAGTCGATACCCATTTGTACAATCTGTACCAATTGTTGCTATTTCGATTAAGTAATATTTACAGTAGCGTCACCGCTCTGATCAATTGCAGCCAAACTCAAATAGAACAACAAGGAAATTTTCGTTTAATTTTTTGCACTAAAATTTTCATTGTAAATGTTAAAGTAGCTAAAGGTACCTTAATATTAGTATGTAGCAGATGTAAAGTTAGGGTTAGAGCTAACATAAAAATAGGGCACGAATTACTAGTTGCCGATTTTTGATATTTAAGAAGTCAGATAACTTAGAAAGGAAAAAGTACCAGCGGTACTTATAAAATAAAAAATAGCGCGGAGTCCGATCTTTTGTAAATTATTTTTTTAGTTATAATGATTTTCCTTTATTTAATTGCTTCTTTGTATGCGTATAATATACAGTCGTTAAGTTTAATCTCAGTAGGTACATTCCTAAGCTTATGAAAAGGATACAATAATTATTGTGTTGAGCTGTGCGTTTTACAGCTCCACCGGCGTGGCGGTTATGCGCATGTGCATGTTTACGAAGGAGCGAAACCACTTTTGCTTATATAGTGCTGATAAAACCTAGAATTTGTTTACCCCGTGTGTGTTTGATGTTTGTTTTCCTTAACATAACTTTAAAACAAGCAGCGTCCCCGCATATTTTAGCTGAGATACAGAGATAGATGAGTGATACATAGTTTGTATAAAGAGCAACATGCAGTTATGGACCTTGAGCAGTAATAGGAGAAGCAAAATTAGAAGTGACTGATGTTAGGTACCTAGGTAGTCAGATAAGTCAGGCCATAAATAGTAAGGATATAAAGCAGAGGATAGCGTAGGGTCGAGTCGCCTTAGAATTAGAAATTCGTGAATGATTGTTAAAGGTGTATGTTTGGAGTATGGCGCTGTACGGGTGCGAAACATGGATGGTGGGCGCGGCTGAAAAGAAAAGGTTAGAAGCGTTGGAAATGTGTTGTTACAGGCGATTGATGAGGATACCGTGGATAGAAAAAGTTGAAACTGAAGAGGTATTAGAAGAAATAGGAGAACAGAGGACTCTATGGAAGTCAATCAGGCGAGATAGGTTGCTAGGACTAGACAGAGACATATTAAAAGTAGAAACAAGAGTTAAGAGGAGTAGAGGTAGAACTAGATATCCTATCACGTTGAGGTTAGCTACGCCGGGATTCGTTTCAGCAAGTAGATATTCATATATTTAAATAGATCTTGTTGGAGCATACGTAATCCTAAAATGTAGCATCGTACTACAGATGGCGTTTACCGCGCCATTTGTGGTATTTCCTAAAACGCGCTGTTAAGACAGCAGGTAAAAGTTGGTCTGTGTTCTGTCGGAGCTGCCTGCGACGCGCTGATGAGATCCAAAAAGATCGAAATCGCGATCCGCGTCTGGCAGTTTCGACAGAATACAGACCACTTCGAATTATTTTATTCGATTATGGTAACGTGCCTATCACGTTGAGGTTAGCTACGCCGGGATTCGTTTCAGCAAGTAGATATCCATATATTTAAATGGACCTTGTTGGAGCATACGTAATCCTAAAATGTAGCATCGTACTACAGATGGCGTTTACCGCGCCATTTGTGGTATTTTCTAAAACGCGCTGTTAAGACAGCAGGTAAAAGTTGGTCTGTGTTCTGTCGGAGCTGCCTGCGACGCGCTGATGAGATCCAAAAAGATCGAAATCGCGATCCGCGTCTGGCAGTTTCGACAGAATACAGACCACTTCGAATTATTTTATTCGATTATGGTAACGTGCCTATCACGTTGAGGTTAGCTACGCCGGGATTCGTTTCAGCAAGTAGATATCCATATATTTAAATGGACCTTGTTGGAGCATACGTAATCCTAAAATGTAGCATCGTACTACAGATGGCGTTTACCGCGCCATTTGTGGTATTTTCTAAAACGCGCTGTTAAGACAGCAGGTAAAAGTTGGTCTGTGTTCTGTCGGAGCTGTCTGCGACGCGCTGATGAGATCCAAAAAGATCGAAATCGCGATCCGCGTCTGGCAGTTTCGACAGAATACAGACCACTTCGAATTATTTTATTCGATTATGGTAACGTGCCTATCACGTTGAGGTTAGCTACGCCGGGATTCGTTTCAGCAAGTAGATATCCATATATTTAAATGGACCTTGTTGGAGCATACGTAATCCTAAAATGTAGCATCGTACTACAGATGGCGTTTACCGCGCCATTTGTGGTATTTCCTAAAACGCGCTGTTAAGACAGCAGGTAAAAGTTGGTCTGTGTGCTGTCGGAGCTGTCTGCGACGCGCTGATGAGATCCAAAAAGATCGAAATCGCGATCCGCGTCTGGCAATTTCGACAGAATACAGACCATTTCGAATTATTTTATTTTTTATAAGATTATTGTTCACAAATGGTTAAGGATGTGAGATATTCTAGTTTTAGGGAAATTCGAAGCTATTGCTCAGAATAGGAAAGATTGAAGATGCGTGTCCAATCAGTCTTAGGACGAACGTCTAAGGTCTAACGACTGAGAAACTTGATGTTGAGGAATCATGTATTCCGTGTCTTTTCTACAGACCATAGACACCTGTATTACTTTAATTGTGTCGTTTCTATCGTTAAGTTTGCCAAGTGCTAATAAATAACGGTAATGAATTACCACCTAGTTCAACGTCAGAAACTTTAATATTAATGTTCCAAAACTGGAATACGGAGAACGCAACTTTCCATATTAATTAATACAGTTTCCCTACGTCTGAATGTGGAAACGTCTAAATCAATCCTTTATTTGTCCGGAAGGTAGTAAATTTGATTAGAAAGTTGTTTCCGTTATTGTCTACTAAGAGTTAAAACGATGATCACGTAAAATGAATTAAAGTTGGAAACGTGAAATAATTATATCATAGAAGGATGAAATTACGAAGTGTTTAGAAATTCCGTACTCTCCGTCAACCAAACAATAGCGGGTCTAAGAAAAATATTCAGTTTATTAACTTCTAAAAGGTGATACCGCTAGTTATAATAAATGACCAAATCTATTTCAATATTTGAAAGAATATGAAGCTAGGAAAAAAAAGTAGGGAAAGAGTGAGCATAAAGGTAGGAGATGAAAGAACAGAAGAAATCGCTAATTTTCGGTATCTGGGGCGACAGATAATTCAGGATTAAAGGAGCATTAGAGACATAAAACAAAGGATAATGCAGGGTCGAAATAGCTTTAACAAAAGGAAGTCATTTCTGAGTTTGCGAACAGTTCATTTACAAAATTCGAAAAATATTGTTAAAGGTATATATAGATATCTGGAATATGGCTCTGTATGGGTGCGAAACGTGGACGATGAGCGCTGTGAAAAAAAGGTTGGAAGCGTTCGAAATGTGGTGTTACATGCCGTGGATACAGCAGGCTAGAAATGAGGTTTTGGAAGAGTATTAGAAGAACAGGGGGCGCTACTAAAAGTCAGTAAGAAATAGGTGAGACAGGTTGGTAGGACACGTTCTCAGGCATGAAGAATTACTTAGAAACATATTAGAAACAAAAGCAGGGGTTATGAGGGGTATAGGTAGACCTAGAATAGATAATTGTATACAAATAGTTAAGGATGTGGGTTGTTCTAGTTTAAGGGAAATGCGAAGACTAGCTCAGAATAGGAAAGAGCGGAGGTGCGTGTCCAATCAGTCTTAGGACTGACGATCCTATGATGGAGACGATGCAATAACTGAACTTATGCATATTAGGTACTTATCTAGATAATGTACGAGGGTGGATTGATAAGTTTCCGGCCTAACCAAGAGATGACGCCACTAGGCCTACCTTGAGGTGACATTCTATAGTACCATCCTTGGATAGCTTGTAGCTATAGTTTCAGCCCGATCTCCTTGCTAGTGTAGGTTTGACAGCACGCTGAACAAGACGCCTCTGTGGTTTTCGTAAAAATGGAAAAGCAGGAAAATCGTGCTGTCATCAAATACTTTTATTTGAAGGGGTTAACGCCGAAGGAAATTAAAAAAGAGATGGACTCAACACTGGGGACATCCTCCCCGTCATATTCAACCGTTAAGCAGTGGGTTTCCGAGTTTAAAAAGGGTCGTGTGAGCACCTCTGATGGGCCTCGCTCAGGACGCCCCGTTGAGGTCACAACTCCAGATATGATCGAAAAAATTCATCAAATAGTGCTGGGAGACCGCAGATTGAAAGTGCGTGAGATAGCTGAGACCTGTAAGATGTCATATGAACGTGTGCAACATATTTTGCACCAACATTTGCATATGGAAAAGCTCTGTGCAAGATGGGTGCCGCGTTTGCTAACAGTCGACCAAAAATTGATTCGAAAAAACATTTCTACCGCAAATTTGTCATTGTATAAGCGTAATCCAAGCGAATTTTTGCGTCGATTCGTAACCGTTGACGAAACGTGGGTCCACCACTACACTCCTGAAACCAAAGAACAGTCTAAACAGTGGATTGGACCAGGGGAACCAACTCCAAAGAAGGCAAAAACAATTTTTTCGGCGAACAAGGTTATGGCTACTGTTTTTTGGGATGCAAGAGGTATTATATACATTGATTACCTTGCAAAGGGTAATACTATCACTGGTCAATACTACGCAGACTTATTGCAACGTTTGAGCCACGAGGTGAAAATTAAACGACCTCATCTGGCGAAGAAAAAAATCTTGTTTCATCACGATAACGCACCAGCGCACACGTCAATCGTTGCGACGGCTAAAATCAACGATCTAAAGTTTGAATTGATGCCGCACCCTCCTTACTCTCCAGACCTAGCCCCGAGTGACTATTTTCTGTTCCCTAATCTCAAAAAATGGCTTGGCGGTAAGAGATTTGCGGACAATGAAGAAGTAATCGAAGCTGTAAATGGTTATT